GACGAGGTACGTGTACATGGCAATCGCGGAGCCGTGGCCTAAATGTAGTGGCATAGCCAAGGTTGATGTTACAACCGGTGAAATGACCAAGTTTATTTATGGGTATGAAATATATGGTGGGGAACCATGCTTTGTATCCGCTAAGAAAACAAGTACATCTACTAATAATCGCGAGTTAGGAGAAATTAATTACGATTTAGGTGAAGTTAATTTTGATTTAAGTGAAGCTGATTGTGTTAGCGATGATGATTGTGAAGATGAAGGGTGGATAATGAGCTTTGTGAGGGATGAAAATGTGGAGAGTTCAGAATTGGTAATATTGAGGGCAAAGGATATGAAGCAAATTGCAAGTGTATGCATGCCTTCAAGGGTTCCTTATGGTTTTCATGGCACTTTTGTTGACCAAAATGAATTAAGTGTACAAAGAAATTAATGATTGATTAGTGAGTAGATTTTTCATCATTATTTAACTTTTAATTAGAATCTTGTCATGGTTGTTTTAGCTAGTGCAAATGATGTGAATGGCCTTAATTAGAAGGCAAACAATTTTAATATAATGATCAATGATTCCTTTTATAAATTAGTAAGCAAACATTTTTTGCATTAATCTGGTTCCTTTTGTTGACAATTCCAACGACAAATACAAAACATGAAAACATACGAAGTATATATGGCTATTGGCTACTAAGGTTACTAAGTCTCACCATTCGGCAAACCAACCGGACAATCAAATATAAGAGTTGTATCAAATAACCAAGAAGCATTGCCCGTGACATGATGAGTGGCTCCTGTATCGACAATCCACAAATTATTATCGAATTTACCAGTCAATCGATTATCCGTCGTAGTATTACCAACCATAGCCGCAATATCGCTGGCCATTGATAAGGATTTTTTAAAAAAAAACGTGGCTCCGATACCATATCAAATTAATATGAACAAGATAATTTGGCAGAAAGCTTGAGATGCCATGAATATATAGCGTACAAGATAATTATGTTGGCCTTAGGTAAATATCTTGGTAAGATCAAATGTTACCAAATTCCTATCCTATGCCAACTATGAGATAATATGAAATCAAATCATATATACTCCATAATATATTTCTATCTTAACATTATTCAATGAGTTTCAAAAATCAAAACCATTGGATCTTATATAGGTCATTAGGTTATGATATGGGATTAATGTTCCGAGGATTTTGTGTAAGTAGGCTAGTCTTAACATATAGCACGGGCGTGCATGAACATGAGATTAATTATGTTTCAAAGAATGAACGCGTGACATATCTAATGGGTAGATAATGCTGGAAAGTTTTCAAACGATAATTGTTCCGTGCTCTCCTATTGCATAACTAACCCAATCTCTTTATATAACTTGGAGTTAATTGTGTTGCAAAGAATGTATGACATGCTTGATCGTTCTGATACCTAGTGACCCTTAATTGTTAGCGCTATTAGTTCTCTTTGTCTTCCGAAGACATATTTATAAGCCTGATACAACTAAGCTAAGGGGCAAAGAAAGTTATTAGAAAAGCGTACTTGTACGTGCCTAGAAGGCTAGAAGCCATTCATTGATTCATACGAAGTATTTGTTATACATGGTCGATGAATTGTATTTTCAATATTGCTGAATATGCTAATCACTTCATAACATTTTTTCCCAACAAAAAAAAAATAAAAAAATAAAAATAAAAGTAAAATAAAAATAAAAACTGACATATAGAACTCCTAACAATATTGGGCCAGTTCCATTAATAATAATAATAATAATAATAATAATAATAATAACCTATATTGGGCCAGAGTCTAGACTGCATTAATTGGGCCTGAATCATGTTGTCCAACAGACTCAATGCAAAAAAGCTACTAACACAAGATTCCAAGGCCAATTACATAAGTCAACGAGATGTTACTAATTAAGCTTGTAATCCATAGTCCATATATACTACGTATATATATGTATTTGTTGCTGTTCAAAAAGCCATAAAGGTAGATGATGAGAATCGATCTTAGAATTTTTTAAAATTGGGAGGAAAGTTTTGTCCACTTGATTACCGTCACTCTCCCTCCATAATCCATATGTGTTAGCGGGTGATAAACGAATGTATAGAGGAATCTCCTACAACGGCTACAATAATCTTTTGGGGGGTGGATTTAAAATTCTTAATTACAAATTACATAAAATGATAAATTAGTACTCCCTCCATTCCTAAATTACATTTCTGTTTCTCTCTATTATGTGAGGAATAAATGCTAGAATTAGGAATGTAATTTAGAGACAGAGGGAGTAAGCTTTAGCCACAACTTGCACCATCTATATATATGTTCTACTTCTACATACACTTGTACTACAGATACATTTTATCAACATGATTTAATTTAGCTAAACTTATTTGAATTTATTACTCCTTAAAATGTTAGTTGAGCTTGCTGTTGTTAACTATAGGTTATCTTAATTGATTTTTTTTTTTTTTTTTTTTTTTTTTTTTTTTTTTTTTTTTGTGAATCTTATTTGAGCTTATTGATTCTTATGTAAACTTATTATTATTTTGTTTATATAGCATTGGTGAAGTGAACATATATATTGTGCTAAATCAAAGGCCATCAATTTTGACCTTTATTAAAGCCCTGTCTTGTTCACTTTATTTTTACTTATTTCATATTTAATAAGTTTAAATAAAATAAGGAATAATAAATTCAGATAAAATAAATTCAAATAACTTAAAATCAAGTGGATAAAACAAACCCGAAAAATAACAATATTACAGCTTAACCACAAAAGTCAAATATAGTTGCAAATTTTTTTTTTTTTTCGATTTTCTTGATTTGTTTTTAAATAAACCTAACCACTTTGCTGTGCTATAACTTATAGCCTATAACTAACATTTCTTCCTCACATTGCCAATCATTTAACCTCTTGCATTGCTTTCTTCATAAAGCTATCTTTATATGAAAGGGACTTGTACATTATTATTTCAATCTGATGAATTGATTTAACTTAGATAAATTAACACAAAAAATAATCGTATTAAAGATGGTAGTACAAACTACCACCTTTATAAAAGAAACCTCCAATTTGTAGAGTGGTTGTATCTTTAATTGTATAGTTCTCAACTACACATTTGAGAATGACACGTTAATCATCAACTGCAATTGCACACATCTAATTATGTGGGGTGGCAAAAACTAAAGGACGCTTTAATTTCACACATTTGTATGGGAAATAATTTTGGCACATTTTTTATTGATTTTGGCACATTCTTATGGGAGAGTATAATTTTCTATGCTCTTCTCACATAAGAGTGTGCCAAAATCAACAAAAGGGTATGCCAAAATCAATTTCCCATTTGCTCTGTCAAATTGTTAACCTACAGCGTACAAAAAAATTAGAGGTTGTGTTTTTAAAAAACCAATTACCAAATATTCTATATTAATTATTTGACTCGTAAATGTTGGTCATCTTTTTACTAATTTTGTTAGTAATAGATGGATAGATATTGTTGAAAACTTGAAACCCATTGCATCCCACTTGTGAGTGTCCCATATTGGAGAAAAAGAAGAGTTGTTGGTTTCACTTTATGAGGTTGAGGAGTTACCTCTAATATTGTTAATTGGTTTTAGTATGGAAACTCCTAAGCCTTGTTTGTTAACTAAACTCTCCTACTCCTTGTTTAAATTTCTCATACCCATTTCATATTGTTTCGAAATTTAACAGATATGAATGTTATATTGTATTGGGACTTCTTATTCCTATTCGTCACATTAAGGGGTTTTCAACAATCTAATACTTATTTATCTTTATTTACGCAGAATTTCTTACGTAAATTTCGTATAAATCTTCTTTTTAGTTTAAACTTTTAAGGTCATGAATTGAAATCTCATCTTTATGAAGTTTTTTTTTTTGGTTTTCCAAACTTATTATTATTGTCATTCCTTTCAGATAATATAACTTAAAATAAACATGTAGATTGTATTAGAGATTGATTGTTTGTTTGACCAAGTTTGGAGGTCAACATTTTATTTTATTCTACTTAGGGCATGTTCTCATTGATTGAAGTGAGCTGAATTGAAATGAACTGAATTGAACTAAGCTGATTACAGCTGAGCTGAAATGAACTGAAAAAATTTGACGAGAACAGGGCCTTAGTATTAAAAGAGTACAATGCTTTTTTTTTTTTGTTTTTTTGTTTTTACTTTTATCATAATGGTGTTAATTTATACATTTTTATTATTTGAATTTATAAATTTAAATCACGTTTTGATTGAATAAACTTTTGGTTGATCAAATCTTTATCATTGTATCATTTGTGGGTCGGGGTACCCTTAGCTTACACTACTTCCATAGACTGATTTAGGGGGTGGCCACTGGCCAGCCTAGGCCATGGCTCGCCCTATGATCCAGAATAGGTATAAGTAATTTAAGTTGTTTATGAATATAACAAATTAAACATACCTTGACTAAGCTAGTTGCATGAGTTGCATCATTTTTTTAGTGGGTTTTAAGATCGAATCTTGCCACACAACAAAATGGGGTTTTTTTTTCTCCCTAGTGTTTAAAAGTTTTTACTGCTCCGTAGCATATTGCTATTTTTATTTTCTTTTTCTCCCCCCCCTTTTTTCCTATTGCCCTCTTTTCTTTTAGCTTAAGTAGTTATATTCATAAACAAAGAGTATGAGAACCCGGCCCCATGGATGTAAAATTTCTGGATCCGTCATTGACTACTTCATGACCTCATCTCTACAATTTGTGTTCTTATAATTTGTAAAATAATACGAAGTATCATTTAATTTGATGACATGTACGAAGTATTAGGATTAGGGAGTAACACACTAGTGAATGCCACCTAACTAGCCCCCACACACTAGGGTATGTATGAGCTAGCTCTCACTGGGCCATCATCGTTCCTGCCTTGGGCTCTTGTGGTATCCCCTTCTTTCACCTCTAAAATTAACTTTACAAGTTTACTATAAAATGTTATAATATCGTTAAGTTTGTATCCAAAAAATACTTTTATTATAAATATATAAATAATACTTTGTATTGTTTTATTAATGATTACAATGAGTAACATCTATACCAAGTTACAAATTGAAAATCAAATAAAACTATCACATAAAATAGAATGCATGGACATTATAGATTTCAATTGCCCTCTCCCCTTCCCAAAAGATGAAAAAAAATGTTGAATCTCCATACAAATTAGAAGATTTAATCTGTTAATTTAAAATACACATAACGACAACCAATTCAGTCTTGAAAAACTGATAGGCCACACGTTCAAATCCCCCTCCCCTATATGCAATTTGTAATGCCCTTCTGACTCTTTCAAATCGGGAAAAAAAATTATGAGTACATATATTGTATGGCATCAAAGAAATTTGTACAAGACACTCTTGAAGAGATGTTGAGCCATAACTTCATTAGTTTTCTCAGTTGGGTGGAAAGAATCCCAGAAAACATATTTGTCAGCATTAGAGCAAGAGAATGAACTATCTAGAACACATAGATAACTCATCTCCACCAATCCAGTGCCACAGCATGCTTTAGATGTCACATCCATTCCTGTCATTTAATCAACTCTCATTTTGTCAATCAACTACCCTATTAAATTAAAATTCACTACAACAAATGCTATCATACATCTCAATTCTAAATCAATGAGCATTTTTGAAAGCAATCACTCTAGCAATAACTACTACTAGTAGTAGTAGGAATGATAATAAGTAAATCTACCCGATTTGACAACTTTTTCAATCTCATTGGTATGTTTAGTATCACCAGATTTGCTATCTAGTATAAATTTCGTTGTAATTAGGACTATCCAAAATTAAAATTGAAATAATAGAACATACTTCCTCCGTTTCTTTTTACTTGCGACACAGCCTTGTGGTACGTGTTTTGAGGTCGAGTTTATGTAATGTAAACGGATAAATTATTCATTATAATTTTTACAAATGATACTTAACCCTATTCTAATCTTCGTGTAAAAATTATATTGATAAAATCGCTCGTTTATCCTCACTAATCATCTCCTAAAACTGCGTGCCTAAAAGGTGTGTTGCAAGTAAAAGAAAACGGAGGAAGTATATATTTAATATATTGAAAATGATATGATATCTTTTTATAATACTTAGGGGACATATTTCATTTGACAATTCAATCCACCCACTTAGACATTTTTGTCAATTGTCTCCCCATAAAAGAAAATTGGCCCTATAAAGCCTTTAATTTTTTCTATTATTATTTTCTTATTTCTTTGGGTGTAATATCATAAAAACACTATTAACACTCAACTAAATTATACCTACTCGAAAAATTATTAAAATCTAATCCTAACAAAGTAACAAGGTCATTTATAAGCATCCAAAAGTAGGGAAAAAAAAACCCATTAAACATAAGTAGACTAAATAAATAAAATAATCATAAAGAATTCAAATTAAAATTTAATAAGGAATAATTAAAATCCTAGCTGAATGTAAACTTACCAAATATTGTAGGCCTTTTAATCATTTGGTGAAGGATGTTATAAGGGTTAGAAAAAACAACTTGTATTCCAGGCAATTCCTTGTTGAGTTGGTTTATCAAGTTGTTTATTTTAACATTAAATTCAACGGCCACATTGTTGTACTCTTCGTTGCATTCTGATATTGCCCCAAGATTTATGGTTCGCTCAAGTGGTAAGCAACCCATAGGAGGAATTCCGGCCAAAGAAATCTTTCGAGCACCAAGGTTATAAATCTCCCCCACAAATTGCTTCGCGAGGCCTATGAGATGATCCTCAAACGCTTGGACCGTGTAGCACAACCTCGTCGTGGGTAATAAGTAGTAATTCTCTAGGAAATCGTTTGTTCCCATGCTTACTAGGTACACTGATTCGGATATGATCTCATTTGCCTTTTGCACCCCAAGATAGCTTCGTAATCTTTCTTGGTACTCCTTGTAATAATCAACTTCCTTCCACAAGGGTATCACATTCTGTCATGAAAACAAGTTTGCATTTAGTAAGCTAGACATTAGTCAATTTGTACTTCATCGGATCACAAATTTAGTAATTACCTAACAATCACGTAGTTAACAAATTAAAGGATAATAACATGTCAATATCGTCCTTAATTATATGATCGAGTCCAACTATATTTTGCACGTCACATGTTTGTAGAAAATATTCACCAATAATGCTACATAGGAAACTTTTTCACTATTGTTACAACAATAAAAAGGTCATCAATCCAATTTTAGTACTTCGTGAAAACAATTAATCAAACACAAAAAAGTTGTAGGATTACAAGATGAAAAAGTATACTAAATCACGAAAAATCTAGTCAAAAAGTAGGAGAGAATGCTCACCCAATAAATTTGTTGTAACAAAAAGCAAACAATTTAATGAGAAACAAGATAAAGTAAATTAAGTTAGTGACACTTGGGAACTCTAATATTTGGCGGGGTAAAGTTTTTATGTACACTGGCTACACTCCAAGTTTTATGACTATATATATGCGTGATAGATAGGAGAACGTTAAATGCCAATAACTTCAAATAGTTTGTTGGAACCTTCTAAAGTGGGTCCACAACACTTGTAGTAAAAAATACTTGTAAAAAATGAAAAATAAAAAATCCTACCTACAATTTGATCCATTTAATTTTTTTATACCATAGATTGATAAATATATAAAAACATTAGTATTGTACGTTATTCATAGCCACACTCTTTTTGTTCGAGAAAGATTCTTGATAATATGTCTCTTTCTATCAATTTTCCAACCATCTTATTATTATTTTATTTACTCTATATACTTTACAAGATCAAAGAGATTTCATCTTAACATCATATTTAATGTAGCAACGAATAAAGTAAGGGAGTATATCTATTAGCCTTGAAAAGCAACTAAATTTCTACAAGCAATTTATTTTCTGTGGTTGCATATGTATAATAATATAGACTATGGAGTATCTTACTTTAATATGTGTGCATGCAATTTACGTAGTTATAAAACACACATTTTTTTAAATAATTTCAAACTGACTCAAATTGGATACATACATTCGCTCACATTTTTTTGATCAACACTTTTATACTTCTTATAAATTATCACCAAAAATATACTTTTTAAAAAAATAAAAAAAAAAACACCAAAAATATACTTCCTATACTTCATCAATAAATAAAAGTTTAAACATACTTATAAAAATAATCTATTTGTTGATTCCTAAAGGTGTGATACAAGGTTATTTATTAGGTGTTGTTAATGATGACGATATATTACTGCCTATGTATTCCTTCTTTTTTTTTACGCTTTCAAAAGATTTCAAATAAGAATAGGAAATAAGGACAGGCCGGTAGCGAGAATGATAATATATACTATACTTTAAATACTTTTAGATTATGCAGCTTTCGGCTTTAAATTAAAAGTCGGCCCAAAAATAGATACTTCAACTACTCATATTGGTTATACTACCTATGCACCAAATAATATTGGCTATATTACTCATATAGGCTATGGTCATAAATCATTTTATTCATGCATATACTTTTAAGCCTGCAACGTAGAAGCAAGAAGATCACATAATTACTAAAACTATCCGTTAAATACAAAATAGCCGTACAATAACCGTGGGGGACCCTAAAATCAAAAGTCCATATTATTACAACATTTAATATGGTGTAACTTACTTGTAAGTTTATGAATCAGAATAAATCATTGCTAAAATAAATAAGTAAAGAAAAAAAAAAGAAAAAGATATTTAACATTATTTATTATTGTGTACTTATGACTTTTTTCTTAATTTTTATTTATTATTATTTCATCAATCATCATTTCATCTGAATTTAATTTCTCATTTCATATTATCTTATATTCGATATTCGGTATCATTCTATAATTTTATATATTACAGACATAGTTAAGTTAAAAATACAAACGTACACTACGTAATTTATTACATGACATTATTTGATACGTGATAGAAGGAGTTTTTTTTTAGAATTGTAAAAAATAAAAATAAAAATTGAAAGATAGATGAAATGATAAAAAGAAAGGAATAATAATGGTACTTACAAGAACAGCAGAAGTGGTATTATCATAGCCGGTACCAGCAGAAGCAAAATTGACTCCAGTAGCAAAATCCGTTATATTGTAATTCGGATCCAAGTAGGCCGGAACAGTTTTCTTGAGTCCATAGTATTCCGAAAAGAAATCCACGGGCACCCGCCCGTTTGAGAATCGACCCGTGGGTCGACCGCCATCGAAGTCCTGTCCATACGGGGCAAAGTTGCTCTTAAGCAATGTTTTTATCCCATTGTTGTTCCCCGTATCGACCGAGGAGTCTCCGAATACTATCACAGCCGGTACCTTACCACCGGCCGCGACGTAAACTCGTCCCAAGAAGAAGAAGAAAAAGAAGGAGAGGTACCAAATGTGGTGGCATATGGTCTTGGCCATTTTAGTGTAATGTTATTATTTTATGTGAAATTGGTAACAATATATAATGTAGGTACGTACGTTTATTAGTATTAGTACGTAATGTTTGGGGATTAAAAAATGGGAAAAATGCGAAGGCAAAATGAAGCTTGGTTTATAAAATATGTATATATATACTAGTATAACGTGGGGGATGTTTGTGTTAATGTGATAGAAATAATTAAAGAGTTGGAAGTGTTCGATAGGAGTTGATAAAAAGGGTGTTGGTTGGGTTGGTATTAATTGTGTTGATTTTTTCACTTTTTTTGCAATTCAATTTCTCGTTGAAGAAGAGTGTACCAAGAGGAGTATTTCGTCTAGATCGACATCAAGAAAATGAATTATTATTATTATTAATATTTACTCGACTTGAATTACTTAACACAAATACGAACAGTAATAATGAAAATTTTGTTTTTCAAAGTCAAACCCAACCTCATAACAAATTTAATGACAACTAACCTGATTCAAATAAATAAATTTAATAAGTTCAACATTGATTTGGTTAATTTCATTAATTATCATGATATAAAAATTACTCTCTCCGTCCTCAGAAGTTCGACCTTTATGAACAATTTTCACGGGTATTAAGAAAGTTAAATAAGTACGGAGTAGTAAAAGTACATTAAAAGGTAAATTTACATGGGATTTGAAAAAAATTAGAAAGAGAAATTAATAAAAGTACATAAAAACATAAAATTTATAAGGAGAAACTAATTTTACACAAATATTAGTGCAAATTGGATGATATTTTAATGCAAATAAGATGATGATCATTTTGAGACTAAATTTTAGTTATAAGGGTTGAACTTTTGAGGACGGGAGAGTAATTAACAATAGCTTGAATAATAGTATAATTAATCCAATTCAAATGGTCCAAGACTAATCCTGGTTTTATTCAAGAGTCTAGCTAATAATTTAATTCATATTCAAGCGATGCGTGTAATTTTCTTAGAACATGTAAATATGCGTAATAAGTAGTACAAGTATAAGAAAAAGGATGGTAATTTGCTTAATGAAGTACACCTATAAGAATAGTATGTATGGACGTTTGATTTATGTAAATTAAACTAATCAGGGTAACAAGAAAACAACACACATCAAAGGAAAAATACCTACTACTCCCTCCGTTCCTTTTTGTTTACATTTTGACTTTATACGTTTGTCAATCCACTTATTTGACCATTATTTTCTCTGTACCAAAATAATTGACACAAATGCACTAGTTTGACCTTAGCTTATATTTATACTTACACGTTAATGAAAATTATAATAAAAGTTACTTATAAAATTTTATCCCATCGTTTTGGTTGATGAAAATTATAATCTAATATATATATATATAAAGGGGAGTTTTTTCCCGAGTTTTTAGAGATCCACGTAGGATCTAATTTTCTCAGCGCGCCATGTAGGATTATAAATCTTAGTAGTAGCCAATTAAATAAGAGATTATTAATTTCTTTTAGAATTAAATAATTTAAATGCCATGTAAGCAAAATTGGCGAATGAGATTTTTAAGTTTAAATTAATTAAATATTATATATTATCTTTTAATATTAGGAATTTTATCTAAATATATAACAAATTTTAGGCTCATAAATACAAAAAAAAAAATTATTTAAAAAAAAATCAAACAAACCGTGCATCGCACGGGCTTCATCTAGTAAAAGTATATTACGGAGTATAAAATTTATATTAATTAATACCTATCCAACAACATATTTGATGACAAAATATATTTTTATTGTGTTAATAAAAAATAAAGTCAAACTTAATATATGAATAAGGGTTAAAAAGAAAGTCCAACGTCTAAGTTATTCTAGGACGGAGGGAGTAATATATTTTAGGAAAATTTGTGAGAAATGACCTTTTAAAATGATTTGTTTGTCAAAAAGGACCTTATATATATAAAAAAAAAAAAAAGTGGCACATTAGGACTTTACTTCAAAAAAAAAAAGTTGTGAGACGTGATCTTATTTAAAAAAAAACATTGCGATATAGGACCTTTTGATGGATTTTGGCATGGCGGAGGTGGTTTTCGGGGGTTGATGTGGGATTTCAGCGAGGTGGATGTGTTATTTGGGGTTTGAGTAGGATTTTGGCGAGATAAAGGTGGTTTTTGAGGGTTGAGGTGAGATTTCGGTTTGGTGGCCTGTAGATGGTTTTCGGGGGGTTTGGTGTGGGATTTGAGTGAGGTGGAGTTGGTTTTCGGGGGTCGATGTGGGATTTAGGCAAGGTGGATGTGGTTTTTGAGGGCAGGGTGAAAATTCAACTAGATGGAGGTGGTTTTCGAGGGTCAATGGCTGGATTTTTGTTAAAAGGTCCCATCTCACTTCTTTTTTTTTTTTTTTTTTTTTTTTTTGAAATAAGGTCTCAATCTCCCCCCCCCCCCCACACACACACACACATATATATATGTATATATATATATATATAAAGCTAAACTTTTAGCCAGGTCACGAAATATCGACACTTGGCATTCCAACTTTTCGCCAAGTGTCGCGCCACCTTGAATAGATTTAAATTGACTTCATATGATTAAAAACGTCAAGTGTCGCGCCACCTTGGATAGATTTCATAAGATAAAAAAAATTAGGTAAGAATTTTACTTTCAATCAAATTTGGATAGAATTTTAGAATAAGATTATTAGTTTAGAGTTATTTCTTCGATAAAATACCAAATAATAAATTTATAATTGGGCCACAAGATAACATCATTTAGTGTTTTAATTTTTCGCCAAGTATCAATATAAATTGACTTTGTAGCAAAAATAGTTAATTTAGAATTCTATCTATTTTTAATCAAATTGAATCATAATAGTATAATTTTATCTTAAAAGTCCATAAACTATCCGGGCATCGCCGGAGCACAAATCTAGTATATATATATATACATATGTCCTTTCTTACAAACAACTCACTATAAAAGTTCTTTCTTGTAAATTTTCCTATATTTTATTCCACACTTGTAAAAATTACAATGATTAAATATTAATAAAGTACTCGTTGAGACCAATCAAGCAAATTTAAACAACCATACATAACTATATTATGTCTTTTTTTTTACAATAAATTATAAGATTCTATCATATTATGAATAGTGTCAAAAATCTAAACGTAATTAATAAAAGGAATTGAGGGAGCTGTAAATGTAAGCAAGTAATTCATAAAAGGAAATGAGGGAGCAGTAAATGTAAGCAAAATTACCTTCTAACTTTTTGTAGGTCGCTAATGATTTTCATGGAATAAGAAAGAGCATTCTAAGCTTATATCTCTTTTATCCATTGTCATTGTACTTTTTTTTTTTTTTTTTCAAGTATGGAATATTGGATTTTAGAAAAGGTAAATTCTTTTTTTGTTTTGAACTTAAGATGCTATTAATATATAGGGAAATATAATACTTTTGCACGCAGCAATTGCACGGAGTAGGTTTTTTTTTTTTGGAGAAAGAATGTTTTAAGAGGTTTTAGAAAAAAAATAATGATATATAATAAATTACGCATAAATTTTTGGTGATTAGATTTGTTAAGAACAGATAAAGATAAACTATCTACGCAAGATATATTTCATAATCACCTCTTCTTTTTTTTCAATGTTTTAGTGTTAAATAGACAGCGATTTAATTCTGTCAATGCCTTTCTTTTTCACTTTTTTAAAGCTAAGATTAGTAAATGGGGTTTTAGAAATTCCCTTATCTGATCTTGAACATCAACTCATGAGTCATGATTTCTCTTATAGGATAGAGATGTCTTCAATTTATATTCTTCATCATTTTTGACGTATATAAAGTAATATAAAGATTAGTATTAGGGATTTAGGGGTGGCAATTTGGGTCAGCAGGTCGGGTTCGGATCATATTTCGAGTCTATTTCTGGTTATGCTTAGAAACAATCAAAAGTAGTGTAAAACTTCGTATTATTACGAAATATGAAATTTGGGTCAAATCGGTTTGAATTCGAGTTGTTCGGGTTCAGGTCAGATTGAGTGCAGGTATCTCTCAGTAACTTCGTGTCCGGTTATTGAGTCGGGCCAGGGATTACCAACCCTAATTTGGATACTACCAATACAAATTAAATTATAAGAAACATGTAAATATTTTTTTTTTTAAAATTTCTTATTTATAATTAACTGCTGGGACCATTTCACGATAAGACGATTAATTGAGTAAAAGAGTTATTGTGATCGATGGGTAAACAAATGAAGTTACTTTTTTTTTTACAAGGTTACCTTGACGAGTGTGATGTTACTCCAATGAGAAAATGGGATTACTTTCATAACTAAGTGTATTTATGGGAAATACTATACATAACCTTTATATAAGGAGCTAAAAATGAAATTGAAAAAAAAATTGAAAACATAACATTTCTTATATTGATTTGCGTATGATTTTATCATACATTCCTAAATTAATATTACACTTAGTTTTTATTCTTAGACCTAACACTACAAAAAATGTCCGAATAGAAACAAAGTATTAGTGACGAAATTAAAAAAAATATGTCTCTAAATTTATTTGGAGACGGAATTAAATATTCGTCTCTAGATTAGAAACGGAATTGAAAATCTGTCTCTAATTTAGGGATTTTTTTTTCGTTGCTAAATTTAGAGACGATTTTTTTTCTGTTGCTAAATTTAGAAACGGATTTTTTTCCATTGATGATATGAACATCGGATTTTTAATTCCGTTGTTGATATGAGCGGCGGTTTTTTTAATTCCTTCCTTAATTTAGAGACGGATTTTTAATATTATCTATTACTTTAGAACCGTTTTTTTTTTCTCGTTGCTAGACTAGAGACAACTTTTTTCTCCGTTACTAAACTAGAGACGGTATTTTCAAAGTCGTTGCTAAACTAGATAATGAGATAGATTTTATTTTATTTTTTATTTTTTGTCCGGTTGCTGATATGAGTGACGGATTTTTTTTTTTCGTTGCTAAATTTAGAGATGGATTTTTTTTTCCATTGCTAAATTTAGCGACAATTTTTCCTTCTATAAATCTATTTAGCGATCAACAAGATTTTTACCCAACAGAGCTTAGTCTATCGATGTATCCGTAGCTAGCTATGTCTATCAATGAATTTTTATAAATTACATACGGGTGACTAAAAGGCCAAACTTTTGTAGTGTATAAGGGCTACATATACTTCATTGATGGTCCCTTTTATTACTCCAGATTAGTTAAAAAAAAGTTAAAAACAAAAGAATAAAGGGTTACTACTCGTAATAAAAAATGAGTTACTTTTTAAATAAATAATAACTCATATAATAAATATGGTTATATTTATGGACAAAATAGGATTATTCTTATAAATAACGATGTTACTCTTACTAATGAATAAAAATTGGCAAAATAATGTGGTCAAATTGTGTAGCTGACCATAAAGTAGACTTAGCTCATAAAATTGTACTCCATATATGTCAAATATTGATAGGAATGGGTATTACTAATTTAATTATACCTCCTTCATAAATACACCTATCTACTACCAAATTACGAAAATCAAATATCTAATAAAGACATAATAATAATAGTAATAATAATAATAATAATAATAATATATATATTTTTGAAATAGACATGATAATAATTATATTGCTACCTTATTAATATGAGATTTGTTGGCTTATTGTGTGATCATGAGTGCTTGATAGTTAGAAACTTAGTGGCATCATAATCACATTGACATAGCCACATACTAACATACCATACTAGTATACTACTCATTACTCGTTTTGTAAAGAGAATAATTATGTAGAGATTGAAAATCCAATTATAAATCATCACTATTTCTATTTCATATACATCATGATATATGTAATTATTTTTTGCAATCACAATTTTTTCTAAAAATTTAAATACTCCCTCTATCCTATTTTTTTTCCCGCGGTATCCAAGGCACATCTTACAATGTATATAACTTTATTTTCATACGCAAAAAAACTATAAAAGTTGATATTAATAAAATATACAATGAGACGCATTTAACTAAACGCCATATAACTATATTGTCTCTTACGGAGTATTGATTAATAAGAATTTATGGTCAAATTTTTGAAATTTGATCCAATTATTTACAGCGGGGCAAAAAAAAAAAAAAAAAAAAAGAACAGATATAGTATATAGTATATGTAACTACTTTGTATTAGTTTTGCACACATTATATAGAACAAATAAAATTAAAGGTACATAATACAATAAGATTGATATTTTTTTATGAAATTAATTACAAATTCCTTAATTGACTAGCTAGCAAAATCATCCAATGAACCAAGACTTAGGCCTGTTTTGATTAACTGAACTGAACTGAATTAGACTGAACTAAATATTTTATGAGAGAAGGAAATTAAGAACTGAACTGAACTGAACTGAATTAAAAATAATCTAAAGAAAACATACCCTTAAATTGAATCCCACCTACAACCTTAACTATTATGACTTGTAAAAAAAAACCCTCGATCTCACAATGAAGACTAGACTAGGCTTATTCATGATCAACAAGCTAAGCTTATACAGTATAACACGTGTAAATTCTCCAACTAATTAGCCGTATAATAATTTCCAAAGAATAACGTTTGGTGTATGTTTATTTGGTTTGCAACATGTTAGACCGTTAGTCACGTGAACATAGGACTGATTATGGCAGTATCTAACTATCTACAACAGCAACAAAAAAAATGCAGCTACAATTTATGTGGTCAAAGAATATTTTACATTTTGCGCAGAGTTTATTTATTTATATTCCATACAATTTTGCGCAGAGTTTATTTATTTATATTCCATGTCAATTTTCAATGTAGACAACATTCATTCTATTCTTACAATTTGGTCAGTTTAATTGATATGTTGTAAGACTTATAACCGTATTGGCTTTGTTTGACAAGTGACGGTTAGCGGTTGACTGTTGGGTGGTTCACTTGACTTGTTTGATCAGCTGATATGTTTGGTTGTTTATAATGGCTTTTGAAATTGACTGTTAAAGCTGGCTGTTTATAAAAGTATTTGGTAAATTAATTGTTGGTAGTTGGCTGTTTATTAGATAATTTGTGGGCCAACAAGCCAAAAGTCAACAAAAAAGCTACTCAAAGCAGCCTTTTCATTTTGGCTTAAAAGCCAGCTTTTTCACTGATTAAAAAGCCAATTACCAAACACATTTTTTGGCTGTTTGACCTCATAAAAAAGCCAAAAGCTAATCAAAAAGCCACCAAAAAGCCATTTACCAAACATGGCCATTATGTTTTCTCCTTGTGTCCGGCCATATGGTAGTCTACAACTTATTATGGTTGTTTCATTTGACTTTAAATTATTGCACATCTTTATACAACATCTTCAATTACGCATAATAAAAAAAAATAATGTTTTAAAACTACACATTGAAATAAATCTCACGAGATCTTATATGTGTATTTTTTTATTTTATTTTTATTACATATATAGTATAGCTATAAATATTTATGATCATAGTTTCTTTCTGTTCTAATAAAATATTTCAAATAATTAGACGAAATGAAGGGAGTAATCTAGATCTAATAAGGGAATAATGCATGCATATAATATACTAGCTACTTCACAATAAATAGGGGAGTTTTAGTATGATAATTTTGGCACAATATTGACTTATTGTGGCGCACCTACACTACTTTTGGATGGTAGTACTAGTAATTAGGCTCTCAATAAATTTATTTTGGAGAGCCAAATAAATCAACGCTAAGGTCTAGGGAGGACCATGAGAATTACACACAGTTAAGGCACAACATGTACACTCTAAGAGATAGGGTTTGTTGCGGCTAGCTTGAAAAAATGCGCAAACTCCCTCTAAGAAGATGACTTTTGTGGCATGGAGATTGCTAAGAAAGTATATATACTCTCCTATGCACGTACCTGGCACGACGTTGAACTCGATCTATACCAACTAGATATGAATTAGAATTCTTATTACTTACGGATCGGAGTAGCTAGCTATATTATTTAGTGTTTAGAAAGCCTCAAGATCAAATGATGAGAATCGATGTCAATATCTCCTGAAATCGAAAAGAAAGCTCTAACCACTTGAGATATCACCTAGCTAGCTATATTACTTACAGACTAGATTTATCATCATATCCAACACACAAATAAGTAATTAACTTGGATAGGGACTAGGGAGGTGCTTAGTTTGTGGTTTTTTTTCAATCACCTTCTTAAGTATAATTTTTGCTAATTTTTATTAATATTTTTTTTTGAGGATAAGAATTTTTTAGTTTATAGTTCAAACCTCAAATAAAAGAATATAATATTCAAAGTGACAATAATAATTCAGAGCATTATCCGAAACAGAAACACATTCTCTTGATCATATTAAGAATATATGAAATTTTTTATTATATGTGTTCATTAAATTTAAGAGGGTAAGACAGACTGTAAGAACATGAATTTGTTTAATCATGCACAAATGCACAATGATTAATACGGAGTGATCGATAAGGCCGGTTATATTTAACTTTCATTATTATGCTTAGGGATGTCAATGGGGCGGGGCGGGGCGGATGTTGGCCTTCCCATCCCCATCCCCACCTAATATTTTCATCCCCATCCCCATCCCCACAGCGGGTCCAATTTTCATCCTCATCCCCGCTCCACCGAGTACAACTCCAAAACCATCCCCGCGCCCACCCCCCACTTGGATATCCATCCCCACCTAATTCCCACCAAAGACCCGACTAATCCCCACCAAGGATCCACCTAATATCCGTACCTCAAATACACAATCTTACATAATTAATACGAATTATAAAATAAAACATTCTATAAACATTTTTGTGTTATAATATAAGTGTCGTACAAAGTATTATAATTAATATTGTATTTCATGTAATTATTTTATAAATAGAATAAAAATATATAATTTTGCTTTAAAAGATATATAGATCTGGGTATGAGGTGGGGATGGGGCGGGTACGAAGTGGGGCGGGTGGGGCGGGTACAACTTAAAATTCACCCCCGCCCCATCACCCATGGCGAGTATGATTTTTATCCCCATCCCCGCCCCACCACCCGCCAAACCGAGACCCATCTGGGGTGGGGATGGGGCGGGTCTCCTACTTGACCCGCCCCACTGACATCCCTATTATGCTACACTATTTTGTAAGAATGCTAGGTGGTGTGAAAGGTACTTAAGGAAAACTTGATTCAATAATAATGTAAAAGCTAAGACCCTATCAATTGTATTGTGTGTATACAATATATATATATATATATATATATATATATATATATATATATATATATATATTGGGAGAATCACGATAAGACACGGCATGGTCGGGCTAGGCACAACAAAGCACGCTAAAAACAATGCAATTTTCTTAGGCACGCAAGCCCGACATGATGGCACGTGGGTATGAGGCGTACACGGGCCAACCTTTTGAAAACTTCAACCCGGCACGGCACAACGTGCCACGAAACTCGTGGGCCGATTTATGGGCCGGTGGTCCTAACTAACCCGGAAGCACGTGGACATGGCATGAGACACGATCTGGCACGACCCAGAGCCATATTTAAATATCCATGTATTTTTTGGCAAATAGGATAAGTCTTGGATATAATCGAATTTGGTCATGATGATAATTGATTACAAGATTACTCCATCGTGTTTACTTTATATAGCTCTAAGTATTACTCTCTTCCTTCCATAATAATGGACATATTTAACCTCTTTTTTTTTCCCTCCTCGACAACTTTGCCTATCGTTATTGTAAATGCACATTTTGACCTTATTCATATACTATGCTTTGAACAATGTTAGCGAATGTTTTAAATACCTTGGGTCGATCATCTAAAAAAATGGTGACATTGATTAAGATGTGGCCCACACAGGATTAAGTCGGGGTGGCTTAAGTGGAGAAATAATTTATTTAATATAATAGAAATATAATATAGTCATAATTATGAAAAAAGTAAAGAATTAATTTCAAATAGGATCTTGCTAACGAGCGCCCCGGGGCGTTAGATAAGGATAAATTATATTGGTTGAAATGGTATTAAGTTAGAAATTCATGACAAAATCACGATCGTTCGGTGTAATTAATGTTAATTTTACTCTAATATTTGCACTTTAATTCTCTTATCTAACGCCCCGGGGGCGCTCATTAGCTTTTGCCTTTCAAATATTATGGAGTGCATAGAGTACCTCTTCTTCAAAATTGAAGATTCAACATACTTGGAGGGAGAGTAATGATCAACATTCAACCGTTTAATTTGAACACTATTAGATTCAAGCGTATTACGAATGATGGTTGTCTGGATATCGTCGCCGGTGTAGGCGCCGTCACTGTGGTAGGGGACTTGGGTGGTCGGATCCGCGGGGCTGGGGAGTCAGGCAGCGAGGGTGGCTTGGGCAGCTGCCAGCCGGTGGGGGTGGTTTTTATATAATTAATTTTTTAATTTTTGTTTTTAAAATTTTATTTTATTTTATTTTAATTTTTGGGACCAATCACAGGCCGCCACATGTCAGATAACTTGTTATTACAAGTTACATGACCGGTTGAGACCATTATGAGCGGATTGAGTATAAAGGTCGGATTATTTAAAAATAATCAATAGGTGAGATTATTTTGAGTGGATGAGCCAAATGTCGGATTATTCCGAGTAATTTTTCCCAATAACAAAGGGAGTACATGATTTCATTTCAATTTGCTTGGTTTGGTTTATGTAACAAACTATAGTAAGGGTCTGTTCTCATACGATTATTTTCAATTCAGTTCAGTTCAGCTTTTAAGTTCCTTTTCTTATAAAATATTTATTTTAGTTCAATTCAGTTCAGTTATAATAAGGTCATTTCAGTTAAGCTTATTTCACTCAATGAGAACAGGCGAACAACCCCTAAATGAGTAACAATTAGCAAAACGAAGGTGCAAATAACAAGGTCTAATTCTAATTTTTGATTTCGCGGAACAATTAACGATATTCATATCCCGCCTGAAATCACCACCAAAGTTTAAACCCTAACCCCTAAAAACTTCATTAATTTCATACGCTGAACAAATTGGCAAGAGAAAATCGAATAATTAGATGCTTCAATTATCCTATTCAAATCAGTCAGTCATTTAAGGTACAATTTCTTCAGCTTTTTTCTTCAATTTTTCATTCATTTTGCTACTACTTTAATATGCCAATTGTTTATTTTTATTTTTTTTTAAACTTGTGACCCTAATTTGTGCATTTCTGAACTTCTTTAGGGTTTGCTCTAAATTTTCATTGTATGCAATGATAAAATTGTCAATATTGTTGTAGTTCATAACAATATTGGTTGGAAAATGCACAATTTGATGCATCAACAATAGTAATTAGTCAATAAAATGTTGAAATGATGATTAAAATTTGATTAATCATAGTCGATTGCTATTTTGTGTTTTTCTATGCAGGTTTGTATTAGATTAATTTAAGTTATACTCTTGATAGTTGAATGTATTCAATGCTTTTAAGTGTTGAATCTTACAGTATTTTTATCCCTCAAGGTTTGATTGTATAATGGTGAGTTCTGATTCGTGTTTAACGATGGAAATTGTTTTCTCCGGTTCGGCCTTGCAATATTTCCCGTGCTTGAGTTGTATTCTTGTTCTTCTGGTCTTCTTACATGGCAAATTATCAAGAACATTTGCAAGAATTGTTGTTTAATTAGTTTTATGTGTTTTGAGTGTGTCACACTTGTGGGCGGGCAGGGGGAGTGGGGGATGGTTATTTCTCTTTGAATTCTATAGAAATCTATATTCAATTATTCATAATAGGGACAGTGGCTTGTACTTTATTTGGTTTATTTTACTTTTTTTTCTCTATTATCATGTTATACAGAATGTCATTAATGTTGGCGAAGGCAAGCCAAGTTTTGAGCAGGGAAGTAGTGCTTAGGAACACTGGCTTGATTAGGAGATTTATGTCTGTTTCAAGTAGGGCTGTTGTTGATTCTGCTGCTAAGGATGGGGAGCTCAGAGTGTTTGTAGTTGCTGGCGAGGTTTCTGGGGATATAATAGGTGCGCGCCTAATGACTTCATTGAAGAGGTTATCACCGTTTCCAGTCAAGTTTTCTGGTGTAGGTGGGTAAGTCTATGTTCTTTCAGTCATTATTATAAAACCTTTATTTGCATGATCTCTTCTTTACCAGGCGAGGGTCTTACTTTTTTTTTTTATAAAAAAAAAAAATGTTTTTCTGTAAGTCATTTTGCTATGATGAGAAGTGAAGAACTAATTGTTACACTTTCGTATTTAAGTTATATTAAAAATAGTCTCTTTAAAAATGCTTTGTTGGCTCAGTTATGTTTTCAATCTCATCCTCGTTCTTGTGTTTGTATGTGTGCATTTTGAAATATTTCTTAATTTCTATGATAAACCATGATCTATATTCGCATAAACATGTTGTTAAAATTGCTTTTAGAGTTTTTTCCAGCAGCTGGTCTGCCTTATTTCTTCAATCTCGATTCTAGCTTATACAGTTTCTTTTATCCAGTTCAATGATGTCTCAACATGGATTGCGATCTCTGTTTCCTATGGAAGATCTTGCTGTAATGGGAATTTGGGAATTGTTGCCACATCTTTATAAGATTAGAGTATGTATATAATGCTTTTTAAGTTGTTGTGTCTGCTCAGCAAATGAAAACCAACTCATTTTGTGGGTTTTTGATATTGTTCTGAAGTTTTGGTTATCAAATTCAGGTAAGGTTGAAGGAAACAGTGGAAGCTGCTTTCTTGTTTAAACCTCATGTTGTTGTAACAGTGGACGCAAAGGGTTTCTCTTTCCGTTTCCTCAAAGAGCTAAGAGGTATTGACCAGTCACTCGGAGTGCAAATTTTCTAATTTATTTCTTTTAATAACCATTGTAATAGAAAAATAGACAAATGCCTTTTGCAGCTTCCTATATTCTGCAACATGTAGATAGTCCTATCCATTTCCATTATGTCGCACCATCATTCTGGGCTTGGAGAGGTGGTGAAGCAAGACTCAAGGGGCTTTCTCAATTTATAGACCACATTTTATGTATTTTGCCATTTGAGGAAGAAGTTTGCAAGCTAAATGGGTTAGCTGCGACTTTTGTGGGACACCCTGTGCTGGAAGATTGTTTGGAGCTGAATTTAGTACGTCTTTTGACATCTCAGTATTGTGGATGCATGTATTTAATGAACTTATCCTTGTTTCCTCCCTCGTGCTCTATATTGACGTAGAGGATTTACTTAAAATGAGTAAAATCTATTCCAGATATTGAGTAGGCAATTTTTTGGGATCTTGTTGGTTGGTTTCTGTAATTAGTTGCTAAGCTTTAACTTCCAAAGTGGTACTATGTATGGTTTGTCTTCTCTCTCTCTCTCTCTCTCTCTCTCTCTCTCTCTCTCTTTCTCTGTCTCTCTCTCTCTGTATGCTTGGCCATTTGTATGCTCCCTTATTTTTCCCTCTTCATTCTCTTTCCTTCTAGGTTTAGAATTCGTTATAATTTTTCTATTTGGTATAGACTATAGAGACTACAGCTCTACTTTGTTCAAGTCAAGGCAAATCCTTCTCACGGATTTTTATTTGGGATTAAATTCATGGAATTGTTCCATATGATATTCTAAAATGAAGACTATTTCTGCTCGTAATAAAGAGTTTCCATGATTCGCATCAAAACCTTCTGGGCAGAACTATTTCTTTCCTTGCTGAAGTGTAGGTCCTCCCAACAGTGAAGCCTTGAAGATGATGTTACGCAAAAGCCCAACAGTGTTCATTTACTCGATTGAGAACCAATGTTGGTGTCTTGTGCTTATATATGATTCTGTTTCTGTTATTTCACGAACTTAACATCTGGTGTTTTGAGCTTTAAATGATCCGTGAAGGTCTTTTCTTTTTCTTAATTTTTTTGTTCTAATATAATGATGTATATTCCTTTTTGCACCAACCTATTGCAGCTACTGTTCTATTAGTTTTAATATAGTGGTAGAATTTCAGGGGAAAGACACTATTGACTGGAAGGTTTACACAAATAGTCAAGACTTCAGAAGTAAATTTGAAATTCCTTCAGGTATTAATCTTGGTGGTAGTAGTTGTTGCAGTCCTGATTAATGCATTGTTTGAAAATCTCCTTACTTCTGGGATTTGCCTTTTCCTTTTCCATTTGCATTTCTTTATTTTTTACATCTTTAACACCGAAATAAAAACCTTTGCTATTTGCTATATTATCTTGTGTGATCTGTTTTACTGGAATGGCTTTGTTATCAATGTTAGTGACTGTTGGCAACATTTGTTTTTGTCTCCAAAGGAGCCAAGGTTATAACACTGCTTCCTGGTAGCAGATTACAAGAGGTACAGCGTATGGTTCCAATCTTCTTGAAGACCATGGAGCTTTTGAAGGGCTCTTTTCCTGAATTGAGAACAGTCATGCTTGCCGCTTCTAATCAGCACGTGGAAGATTACCTTAGTAGATTGATTGACCATTGGCCTGTGCCTGTCATACTGATTCCTGGGAGTTCAATAGACCAAAAATATGATGCATTCAATGTAAGTATGCTTAACTTTTATTGCTGTGGAAAACTTAGTAGGGTCATTATTCTACTATTGCCTCCGTTGGAAATAATAGTCATATATACTAATTTGGGTGTCCAAAGTAACTTTTCTCCTTTTGTAAGATTGTCATGATTAATGATTACCCCTACTTGGATTGAATGATGGGAAGAGCATCTCTATGGACAACTATCCAAATATTATTTATGTTGAATATTTGAATACACGTTCTCATGCTGTGGATATAGGATATTAGGATCTATGTTGCATTTGATCTGTCATATTTGGTTCAACAGATACCATATATTGGCGGCAGTAGCCTTAGCTATGCACCTCTCACCCCCCCCCCCCCACCCACCCTTCTTCTCCACTTCTATAACTCCTCAATGGTGTACAATGTTTATGATTTCATTTTACAGGCGAGCACGGCTGCATTATGCACTTCTGGAACTGTTGCTGTTGAGCTGCAACTTGCTAGATTGCCATGCCTTGTTGCTTACAGAGCCCATATCTTAACAGAATGGTTAATCCGGTACAAAGCCAAAGTGCCATACATATCCCTTCCTAACATCCTCTTGGGTTCACCTGTCATTCCTGAAGCTCTCTTCGACACATGTACTCCCAAAAATTTGGCATCTACTCTTACGTAAGGTTCTTGAACACTGTCATATCAGTGATATTTCTATTTTTGTAACTACTATGTAATTAATTTGTGGCTAAATTGAATTATAAACCTTTTGCTAAGTATAATTTCTGAAGTGATTATTTCGATCTCTGGTAGAAGGATTCAGTCGATCTACTTGTTTCATTTGATTTTGATGTTATCAAAACTTTCCTTTGCACGGATTATCTAGGTGTTAGAGAGCCATTTATTTGCAGTTACAGTTTTTGATACAGTGTATGTAGGGTTCTGAAATTGGAGATTAGAGGTTTATTTTCATTGCTGATTGTCAAACATGGGCTTATTATCCTTGTGATGTATACCGTATAGGCAACACTCTCAACATTGTTACTCTTGAAAAGATTTTACATAGTTTACGAAGCATTTGATAGAGCTGTTTAATCTCTTTTTGCAGAAAACTAATCCAAGACGAGGGCCTAAGGGAACAACAAATCAAGTCTGCTGGAACTGTTATCAGGCTTTTAAGTCCTCCGGCAAACAGTTATCTACAAGATGAATCAGGATATACTTCACAACCTAGTATGATTGCTGCATCTACTTTATTGCATTACAGAAGGTGCCTTTAGCCGTAATATGCATTTCTATGTACTCTACCCCCTATTTATCCGGTCTCTTTGTCGTTTTGTTCGATTGAGAAGTTTCTTATATCTATGGCTTTAAGCCTCTATAATTTTTCACTTCAAAAGTCTCATAGTAAGAAAAATTTTCTTTAGGGGTGTTTTGTTTGGTAATTTCTCTTATATCCTTAACTTTTTTTTTTCTATAATCACTGTTCATTGTGGCTTTCTAGTCTCTAAACACAAATATGCAAAATTAATTATTTTTAACTTTTAGGCCTTCCTTCTTTTGTGCTCCTTGATTTGCCATTGTTCATGCTTTTCTCTTCCATTGTTATATTTGCCTTGATAGGAATTTGTGGTTATTCTTAGAAAACTTTATCCTAGAATATTAGTTCATCATCTAAATATCTAATGGTAAGAGAAAAATGGCATTTACCAAGAAAGCAAATCATCCCTTGGACCACAATTTTTTTTTCCTTTCAAGTTGCTGTTGACTGTTGTTCTCTATATAATCTCCAACATCAGCAAATCATCTATTTAATGTACATGACAATTTTCCCATCTTACCATCAACCATAACCTGGCTTTACCTGTCCTCGAAAAAGCAACAAAATGGCGGCAACAAGAACAATGGCTGTTTGCTTGGGAATTATCTTAGTTTGTTCGGTCTTGATGAATGTTATTGATGCTGATCAAGTAGATGCAGGGGTAGCAACACTGACGGCCGGTGATCATGCGAATGGCAGATCATCAGGCGTTGCTAGATCTTTAGCAGAAGATCAAGATGGTGAATATCAAACACCCGATACTGGTGATGATCCTATTCCCAAGGGCAATGTCATGGGATATTAGATCATTACTACCATTCCAAGGGACGTTGTCACATAGTCTCACTCCATGAAAGTAAATCCCATCTTAGAGAAAAATATGTATTTATAATTTAACTAGATGAAGCTCGTGCATTGCACGGTTGGTTTGTATTTATTAAACCAAATTATTTTTTTGTATTTTTATAAGACAAAAGAAAAGACATTTTATAGGCTAATGCCATAGTTTCAATTAAATCAAGCAAATATTTTTTTTGTATTATGTGATAATTTTGTTACTTTATTCGTTGAATGTAATAAATTATTTAATATTTTTATTTTAAAATAAATAATGAATTTCCTCTCCTTAGTACCCAATTTGGTGACTTGGATAAAATATTGTGCCTTGCATGTAAGATTTGGTGACTTAGATATTATATTGTGTTACAAAGAGTTCAAATATATGCATATCGAGCTGAGCTCTTTGTGCATTGAGCTCTTTGTAACACAGCCTATAAATCTTATAATAGGCAAACTTTAATACTTAAAAAATAAAGTGGTTGGTTTAAAAATCACTATGTTCTCATCTAGAGTTTTTCGTTTAAAAAGCCAAAAGTTTGAACATGAATACTCACTAATACATCCAAGGCAGCAAAAACCTATTCACGAGAAGTTTTCCTGTTAAAATCTTATTTGTTGATAGTTTTAAAACAATGGATATACGATTTTTTTTTTCCTTTGAAAGAAAGCTTTGATTTATGTGATTTTCTTAATACTCATTATACATAATTAATTTAAGTGATGAAATATTGAAATGATATTCAAATCATCAAATGTGTGCATTAAGACTTTGAGAGTTGTAAATAAGAAAATGAATATAGATAAATAAACGAGGGGAGTATATGTATATCACTTAATTTGTGGATCACTGTTAAATTAATTGATGCTTATAAATTTTAGGAAATTTTGCAAAAAACTACCTTTAAATCTTGTTTTTTTGCATATAACCGCCTTTTAAAAAAAATGTTGCAAAAGACCATCAATTTTAAAATTTTTGTTGCAAAATACCACTCTTTAAGCCAAATTTATCAATTGTTTTACATTGAAATGGTGGTAATTTGCAACAAAAATTTTAAAATTAGTAGTCTTTTGCAATATTTTTTAAAAAAGGTGGTTATCTGCAAAGAATAAGATTTAAAAGGTGGTTTTTTTTTGCAAAATTATCTAAATTTTATGGTGACATGTAATGATGCTTTAAGAGCTCATCTCGATATGCATATATTTAAACTTTTAATGAAATATGTTTTAATATTGAATAATTTCATTATTTACTATTTTGTTACCTTTCATTGTTGCAAACATAAAACTTTGATCAATAATACTTCATATTATTAATGATAAAACATTAATGATATGAAAATATATATTGATTCAATTTTAACAAGACTCACATTATTAAGAGCAACTCCAATGGTGTAGCTAGGAACTTGCTTGCAATATTAAATAATCCCGAGCTATTAGCTTGACCATGGAGCTAGAAAATGCAATTAACTTGGCTAAGCAAGTTAGCTTTGTCAAGCTAATCAAAGCTAATTTGTTTGGAGAAAAACTTACCAAAAAAAAAATATAAAATAGAATTAATAAAATGGAATACAAAAAGTTGATAAAGGATGTGAAATTCATTTAGATTGTAAGCTAATAGCTAGCCATTGGAGTTCAAAATAGCTACAATAACAATTAGCTTAAAAGCTTATGTGGCATGTCAAGCTAATTGTCAAAATAGTTTGCCGTTGGAGTTGCTCTAAGAAGATGAATTAATATAGACATGGGATTTGATTGACTAAAAATAAAAATAAAAAAGAGGAGTTTGGGTGATTAAAGATGAATATATTACTCCAATATTATATTTAGTCTCATTTGAAATTTTAAAAAGATTTCAATATATATATATATATATATATATATATATATATATATATATATATATATATATATATATATATATATTTTAATGATAGATTTTAATACGTAGCTAGTATAATAATATAAATAGATCTATTTTTTGAACAGTTTTTCTGAAAATGACAATACACCAATACACGTACTACTACAAAAAAAAAATCCCCAATGTCAAAAAAAAAAAAAAAAGTCAGACTTTTTGAATCACTTGTATATAAAGGTACAACTAATAAATCTATGGTGTCACCTCATACTTATTAGGCAACTTGTTAAGTTGGGGTTAAAATTATCAAAGCACCTAACAAACCGCCTAATATACATAAGGTGACTTGATAGGTTTACAAGTCGCACCATATACATATGCGACTCTATAATCCGACTTATTTAGTGGTTTGAATTAGATTTTCAAAGTCACCTGTACATAAGGCACGACTCGAAAACATGTCGAGTTGCCTTATACATATTAGGCGACTTATTATGTGAGTTTTGTTAATTTTGACTCTCACCTTTTGAGTAGCTTAATAATCCTAATATGTATAAGACGACTCAATAAGTTAATAGTCACACCTTACATACAAGTGACTTTGAAATATAATTTATCAGTCGCCTCTTTCAACTCAAGCGACACAATAGGTTAACCAATGGAGTCACCTCATCTAGTATAAGTGAATCAATATCTTAACATATAGAGTCGCTTGACAACTAATAGGTGACTTGTACAAAAGTTATTGAGTCGCCTCAAGAGGTGACTCCTAAAGTCGAAAGCTATCATGTCGGTGGCTATAGAGTTGCCTCTAAGGCGACTCGATAGTTTTTTTTTTTTTTTTTTTTTTTTTTTTTAACATTGATACAAGTCATACAACAACTAGTAATCTTACTCTTGATATGAAGAAAATAAATTCATTAAAGCAAAACATATCGTTAATCAATTATGTACAATTTATGAATACCATTTAAAGACTCTCTTGGTTAAAAGTATTGACATACAATGTTCAGAACTTCATATATGCATAAGTTTGACCATTAATATATGAAAATATAAAGTACTAAAATTTAATAAAAGTAGGTATTATGAAAAAAATATATACTAACAAACAAAAGTTTACATGAATACATTTGAAGGGTTTTTTTTTCTTCGATCAAGAAATTCTATACCTATAATAACTTCTGTTGTTAATAACTATAATTAAACTAGCCGATATAAAGTTTTGTTTAGATTGTTCAAAAAAAAAAAAAATATTTAGATGATACCATTTGAATACCAACTAAAAAAATATATTGATACCAACAAAAGCAAAAATTCATGCAGTACTAACGAAGAAGTATATTGATATCATGATCAACAAGATGGTACCATCTAAGCACAATTAAGTACCTAACAGAAATTGTTACATTCATTAGAAACAAAAGGTATTACAAATACAAATTTTCTCTATACGAATAATATGTACTAATAAAAATCATTACTTTATTGTTATTGACAAAAGCTATTGAGCATCCTAAGACATTACCAAAAAAAAAAAAAAAAAAACCTTAAAGTGAAAATAGTGTAAAAGTCCAATTGTAACAATATTATTAGGACGGAGGAAGTAATTAGATGTATAAGATCAAAATAGGGTATTGACAACATGCATGATCAACATATACTACATCCGTTTCTTATTATCTGCAACAAAGGAATATTTTATGTCTCACAAATAATACCCCTTTGTTGCACATAATAGGAAACGGAGGTAGTATATAAATGGTTGTGGCCGATGAATCAATATTTTTCATAAATTTTTCTTTAACCTAATTCAACAGTGTAAATTACTCATATCTATTAACTATTACTAAAACATAAGTTGCTGACGTCACCATTGCCCACGTGTCGCTTTCTCATTAAAAAATTTCCCGCTTAAATGCAATGATGATGTCATTTTTTTTATTTTTTTTTATTTTTGTAGAGGTATCATATTTAACATTTTTGAAATTTAAATATTGGAAGCTTCTACATTATAACTAAAACATAGTAATTTATCGTAGGTAATTGAAATAATTTTAAATAGTACACTAATAAATGACCTCCTACATTGAATTATGAATTAGACAATGTTAAACAAATAATATATCATAATTTTGATGAAAATAAAAAATTTTAAAATTAAAAAAAATATACATAATTCTTATTTATATTCATGTATAGCGATTTATTTTTAAAATGTACAAATTAAAAATAGGTTTTATATAAACTGTGCATCGCACGGGTTCTTACCTAGTATACTAATTAACTCGTCATTTTCTTCCTAGATGAAAAGTAATCTTAATTGAATTATTGTACCTCTTAAAAAAAAATGCATTGTTGTAATTGTTAGAAAATTTAGCTTATTATTAGAAAAATTATTCCCATAAATATTTTCTTCCACAAAATAAGCTCATCCAATGAAATTAAAAAAAAAAAAAAAATATTGTCAAAGTAACTAAAAACTCTCCTTCCAAATCGCTATTATTTTCTATAAAATCACAAACATTAGCAACCCATCATTTTTCCCATCTAAGCATTACCAAAACTTGAATATTATTCTCACCATTTTACGTCGAAAATGGCGATCACAAGAAGAACAATGGTATTTTGCTTAGGATTGGTCTTAGTATGCTCACTCCTAATGAAAGGGATGGATGCATCCAATGAAGCTGAAGCTCCAGGGAAAGAAAAGAAGGTGGCGGCCGTCGATGGCGCGAAACAGTGGAATGTAGACCTTACAGACGACCCTTCATCGGACGAAAATGAAGAAAGTACCGAGACTAAATTTGAAGGTGATGATGCCTCCGATGATACTCCTAGGACGATTGTTATGGGACACTAATATATTTCTAATCTTGCATGCTTATTATTTTTTTTCTTTAATTTGTTTGTATTAATCTTAATCTCTCTTTTTTTTTTTAATTATTAATTTAATCAATTTGTTTTTGATTTTTCTCATGTATTTGTATCACTACATCAATTGAAGAAAAGGAAAAAAAAAATAGTGTATGATATTTTTGAAATACATTAATGTATGTAATTATATTTTTTTTTTTGAAAATATTCATACTTTATGGCGGTGTTGAGTATTAATTAATTATTTTTAATAGAATTTGAATAAGGAATGTTTTTTTTTTTTTTTTTTTTTTGTTCTACCCGGTTCATTCTTTAGGATAATGCGGATTCAGATCAGTTTTGGGTGGTTAGGTTCCAGTCCCCTCCCAATTATTATACGAAATATTCTTAAAGTTTCTTCTATTTTTTGGTGTTCCAGACTTCCAGGATCAGTTTTGGG